GAAAAACATCAATGTGAGAGAGACACATCGATTGGTTGCCTCCCGCACAACCCTGACTGGGGCTGGAAATTGAACCTGCAACCCAGGTACGTGCCCTTGACCAGAATCGAACCTAAGACCCAACAGTCTGGGGGGTCAACACTGTAACTACTGAACCAAAGCTGCCAAGGCCCAAACATTATCTCAATGACAAAGGAGATAATGAGCTAGAAACAAGTAGGTGAAAGTATTTACTTTCTGTTCTCTCAAATTTGTTGCATTTATAATCATTATATTAAAAAGCACTAATACAGAAAAGCCATAACTTTAGTGTTATAAAAGCTATATCAGGCTTAAACATAAATTTAGGGAATAGGGAAGAAACATCTTCATTATTTATTTTTGACGTCTCCTTACTGAATTAATTGAAATATGAAATTTGTCTTTTTTGAAGTGACTTCGTGGTTGTATATCATGAAATAAGTATAATGTAATATAATTTAGCTTGAAAGATGCTTTTACTTCATGGCTAATAAAAATAAAATGTAAAAAAAAAACTTTGCAGGGGAATGAGTAAAGACTGGTTTTGGAAACAAAAGTAGTGTAGAAAGGCTTTTCCGTGAAATCCCTGACTCAGGCAGAAAGCAATCTTGGAGATACTGCTTTGGAGATTTGAAGTACAGTACAACGCTGATTGGTCCTTTACTGGTTAGTTGTTATGTTTCTGGTATAAGTTTATGTGTGTAGATGTTTCAGTGAATCTTTGAGCTTTTTTCCTTTGTGAGGTCTGTTTACACATTTGGAAATATCAGTGAACATAGAACCCTGGGTGTTTTGTGGCTTTGAGCTTTTGATTTCCTTCTGAAGCTGCCATCATGACGTTAACCTTTGATGAATTGAAGAGCATCAGAGGGTAGAATAAAATGATTACTAGTGGTTAATAATGTCCTGGAGTTTAGGAGTTTGGGAAGAGTGCCCATTTCCATGAAGGAGTCTGAGAGCTCACGTGGTAAGAAGCTCCCTGACCACATGTAAATTGAGAATACATTTTAGAATCAGTTTGGATGAAAATGGGAATTGGAACCTACTGCTGAGAAGCAGCCATCTTGCTATAAATTATTTATGGCATGAGGCTAAGTGTTTGGTACAGAGGCTATAAGCCTTTTTTCCATCTTGCTTCAAAAACTGGTTTGATTAGAAAGAGAAAATCATTAATTTTGGTATTGAAACAACATTTTTAAAGGGGGGTTTAAGGTCCTAAACTCACTCTAAGGTAGAAAAGAAAGAGCAATTACTAATACTTTTCAAAAGAACCAATGTTGCACTGGATTCTACATAAAAGTAAAAAGGCAGAGCCCTGATCAACGCAGTTTATCATACTAGATACAGGATGAGATTTTTTTTTTTTTTTTATAGTGACTATATCAGTTGCTTAAGGAGCATATGTTTGTGGAGTCCTCAGCTTTAAGCACATATTTAGATTTATTTATGGCTAACTACATTGTATCATGTCTTTTTAAAAATTTTTGTTAATCCTCACCTGAGGATATTTTTTTCATTGGTATTTATTTATTTATTTATTTATCCTCACCCGAGGACATTTTCCCATCTTTTTGTTCAGGTAGAGTGGGAGGGAGAGAGAGGAACAGAGAGAGAGAGAGAGAAACATCGACGTGAAAGGAACACATCGAGTGGCTGCCACCCGCACGACCAACCAGGGCCGGGGACAAACTGCAACCGAGGTACGCGCCCTTAGCGGGAATCGAACCCGGGTCTCTCCAGACCGCAGGCCGACGCTCTAACCGCTGAGCCAAACCGGCCAGGGCTTTTTATTGATTTTTAGAAAGAGGAAGTGGGCTGGGGGAAGAGAAACATTGATGTGAGAGAGACACATCGATTGGTTGCCTCCCACACAAGCCTCAACCAGGGCTGGAGATCAAACCTGCAACCCAGGTATGTGCCCTTGGTTGGGAATGAACCCAAGAATCTTCGTTGTGCGTCCAGTGCTCTAACCGCTGTGCCACACCAGCCAGGGCATCATGTCTCTTTTTAGACTGCACATGAGAGCCCACTGAGCAGTGTGATATGAAGACAGAGGGGCTTACTAAACACATATTGGGCAGATACCCAGCTTGTGGTGTTGACTTCTTTTCTGGAATCAGCCCCTAACCTCACCCCCCTGGCTGCTATATGATGTTATGGGATTAGACCCTCATCCCACCTCCAGTCTGCTCTGTCTTCTCAGGGAAATTTAGATTTATTTGGGAAATTTGATGTTTAGACTGTGAGAGACAGAAACTATCTCATGAATGCTTGAAAAGATGGTAAATGATGTATTCTCTGTTTTCAGTGTACAGTTGATATGTAGCTTGCAGCTCAACACTATGTGTATATGTCCTCTCTGGTCTTATTTATTTTTGCCTCCTCGATCTGACTTGGGCTGAAAGACGTGGGTTCAGTTCTTTGTGACTCTTGTGTTCTCCTTTTGTTTTTAAACTTTTTTTGTTGTTAATCCTCACCCGAGGATATATTTCCATTGACTTTTAGATAGAGTGGGAGGGAGGGAGAAAGAGAGAGAGAAACATCAATATGAGAGAGACACATAGATTGGTTGCCTCCTGCACGACCCTGACCAAGACCAGGGCTAGGGATCAGACCTGCAACCCAGGTATGTGCCTTTGACCTGGAATTGAACCCGGGACCCTTCAGTCCTTAGGCCAATGCTCCAACCACTCAGCCAGTGGGCCAAGGCTATATATTCTTTTATTCAACAAATATTTATTGCTTGCTTCCCATGTACTAGAAATGGTTCTCAGCTATGGGGATACAATTTTGAATACGACCAACAAGGTCTCTGGTCTCATGGAAGGAACATTTTAGTCAGGGGAACACAGACAATGCACAGAAACGAAAAAAGAAAATTTCAGATACTAGGAGTGTGCTGAAGAAAATAAAAGATGGTCACTTGATGGCTAGTGACTGGAGGTAGTTCCAGTTTAACAAGGATGAGAGAGCCTCTTCGAGGGAACAGCACTCAAGTTGCTCTCCGAGTCACTTATATGTGGAATCTAAAAAACAAACTAAATGAACAAACAAAACAGAAACCGACTCATAGATACAGAGATTAATCTGATGGCTTCCAAATAGGAGGGAGTTTAGGAGGCTAGGTGAAAAAGATGAAGGGTTTAAGAAATACAAATCGGCAGTTATAAAATAGTCATGGGGATGTAAAGTACAGCAAAAGGAATATAGTCAGTAATATTGTAATAATTGTGTATTGTGCTGGGTGGGTGCTAGACTTATTGGGGGATACATTTTGTAGGTTATATACATGTCTAGCCATATACTGTAAACCTGAAACTACTATAATGTTGAATGTCAACTGTAATTGAAAAATGAAATGAATACAAATCCTAGACATCCAAAAAGAGAGAGGTGGGGGACACCTCCCCAGGGATCTGGCAGAAGGGATATAGTAGAGGGAACAGCAGGTGCAAAGGCTTTGAAACAAAAACAAACGTAGTGTTTTAGAGGAGCAGGTTTTACCATGGTTTCTATCTGCAATTGTAAGCTGTCTGTTACATTCGATTCTCAGGATAGTGTTCATTTCTTTATAGCTCTTATCCTCTATCATTAAATGCTCTCCTTTAAATGTCTCATTTAATTCTCATTGCTGCCATGTAACAGTTTCTGGCATTGCATTCCTGACACCATTTGATTTGTTTGCTGGCAGGGTTTTGCGTTTACTTAACCCCCTGTCTGCTCTGAGTCATCCAGGTGTTTCTCTAGTTCAATGCAGGGATCTTCAAAGTTGTGTGTACATGTGCCATAGTGAGGGGAGAGTTAAATAATCCACTGTGCTGTGGAAAAAGTTTAGAACTTTTATGTATACTCAGTTTGATTTTAAAAAGAAAAAGTATCAAAGAATTACTGTCAGCATCCTCACTAGGTGGGTGCATCCCAGGGTCCTCTGGCTGGGAAATGACGAGAGGATGGAAAGGCATGACAGTGTCGTCCTCACCTGCTGCGGCGTGGTGTTCGCACGCTTCAGGGTGTTGCTCAGTGTGGTTATTTCATAAATCACAGCCACTCTAGTCCCTACCTCACCCCAATGCCCTTGGTGGCAGTGACCCACGTCTTGAATAGGGGCTTACACCCTTTTACTGCCCCCACAAAGAGGGAAAAAAAATGAACTTTTGTAAGCCACAAGCAACTTTTTTTATGTCAAGAGGGAGAAACTTCAATTTCAAAACTGTTCAGATGAGCCTTGTATTTGTACAAATAAAGGAGAGCTCTCTTTGAAATGAACAGAAGATTGGACAGGTCACTCTAGTGGGGAGAAGGAGGTTATTAGGTGCATGAAGCTTTGTGACTTGTGTCTTCTGGGTGGTTTGATCCTTTTATATGAAACACCTCCTGTTTCTTTGAACAATTTTAGCCTTCAATTCTATTTTTTTCAAGTTTTCACCTTGTCCTCCCTTTTTCCTTTGGCTTCAGTTTGCCAAGTGGAACTTCCTCCAGCTCTTTGCTGGGACAGAGGTCTTTGTGCAGAACTCACAGTGTGTCTCAGCTGAGCAGGGGTGACAATGATGGAGGGGGTGGGGGCTCTGCTTTCTGCCAGACCCTGCTGGACCCTTCTGACTAGACCCTTCCGATCAGGTTTGAGTCTCAGGGCTGGGGTGAGCAGGGCCAGAAGCCGAGGTCATGGGAGGATTTATGAGACTCTAGGCACCATCGGAGCCACAGTGGGACCCAGGAAGGAAAGCTGGCCCAGTTGAGGAGTGGGCCTACACACCTGCCTCCCTCCTTCTTTCCTGTGGTACACTCACTGAGCACCTTTGGTGGGCCACGCACTGCTAAGTGTCAGGGTTTCAGTAACTCACAAAAATAGAAGCAGACCTTTTCATCTCTTGGAAGAATCTGGCAGTCAAATCGATCACACAGAAGCAGGAAAAATTACTATCTTGAACCATTGTTTGAAAGAGAGGCCTGTGATGCTGCTGGCAGGGTAGAGGGTGAGACACCCCGGTCTGGAGCCTTCAGAATGTTTCTGCAAGGAAGAGGCATCGAGCCAAGGCTGAAGGAAGCCCCTGTGTGAGTGCAGACGACCGGGAGCACCTCCAGCAGAGCCAGCATCCTGTCTGCTTTGTTCTCTGATCTGTGTTCAACTCCTGGCACAAGGTGGGTGTTTGGTGTGCTTTCAGTAAATAAAAATTAAGTGAATGAATGAAGGCCAGCAGAGAGTGCAGGGGACAGTGGATTGACATGGGGCTGGAGAAGCTGGCAGGGGCCAGAACTCACAGAGGCTTGTAGCTAAAGAGACCGTCTGAGTTATCATGAAAATTGGGACAGTTTTTAGAACAAAACGGGGTGCTATTAATAATTATATTTGGACAGTAAGGCATAAAATGAAACTGACTCAGGCAAGCTAGGATGTATGGTCAGCTTCTTATAGGAATTTCTCTTTTTCTGAGAGCAGTGGAAGGCCCCTCAGAAAGTTTTCAGCTTGATCACTGTGGTAACAGGTTGAACATGGGTTGACCTAGCAGGTCTTGGGAGACTGTTGCAGTTAAAGGCCAGGAAGGAGAAGTTGGTGGCTTGGACTGGAGGCCGGGATAGCAAGGGGGAGAGAACAGCTGGACAAGTGTCCCTGCTGTCTGAGCCAGAGCACAGAAGGAGCAGGTCTGGGAGCATGTGTAGTTTGGGACAGGTTAAGAAGTCAAGATGTGAACTTAGAAGTTTTCATCATTAGGCTTGTGGATTCCCAAACTAGGAGAGAATACTGGAACTCCACCAGTGTTTCATCTGCTCCTGGCCCACACCTGTTACAGCTCCCTGTTACAACTCCCCCCACCCCTGCCGCCCATTCACTGCTCGCTTATGCCTGAAATTTTATTAATCAAAACCAAAATTCTTTCTTTCATTAGAAGTAAATGTATTTAAAAAGCTAATTTTGAGCAAGCCTGTAAGACAGAGTTAATGGTTTGTCAGGGAGAGGAGGTTGGAACATGCTTTGTTTAGAAAAGCTTGAAGGAGCTGGAAAAGTGCTATTTGGGAAGATGAACTTGGAAACACTCATGAGGGAGAAAAGGATGCAGAATTGATATTCCACCAAAGGAGTCTGCAAAGCCAGGGTGGGGTCTGCAAAGTGAACTTGAATCCTGAATTTAGAATGACCCTTATGGTATTTATAATTTGCAGACTTCTAGTTTATTTTTTACATAAAGTCTTCTCCATTCAGAAATCTTCAATTCACACTCTTGTTTTTGGAATGTAGAGTTTTATGGCTTATATGACCAGGGAGAGATGGTAACTTTAAATTGTGTTGGTTGGGTTGGAACGAGCAGTACTTCTGTATAATCAGTTGGAAATATTGGAGTGGTGTGGTCTTGAGCTGCCTGTTAATTCATTCCAGAAAAAGGCACAGAGCCTAGTGTCTTTGCATGTGTGATGCTTAGAAGAAGCCAGCAGTCTGCAGGCTTGTTTCTTGAGGTCTGACTCTCTTGGGAGGTATTACCTTGACTGCAGGTAACTGCCCTGGCTGTGAGTAATGCCATCCAGGCCACATTGCCCTCTTCTGGTGAGGGACTCATGCTACAAATGTACTGAATTTTATAAGAAAAGAAAACTCTAGCTCGTTTTTCACTTTGGTCAACTACACTTTGCCAGCTGGCATAAATCCCTATAATGAAATGAATGTTTGGTTTAAAATGTTGTAATGTATACTCAGACCATGGAACCATGTGAGGGTCTAACCTTATTTATAGTTTTGGCTTGTGGGGTCTACCTTAGATATCCATATCATTTTCCACAGTTTGGCTACTTTCTCTTTGCCAAAAAAGATTTCTCTGCCTAGAAACCCTGTCTAGCTGCTTCATTAGCCAACGTGTGAATTAGCATTCTTGATAATGGCAACAAATGCAAGGAATATGGTTTTAATAAAATTTTAGTATCTAGTATCTCTGAAGCATTAGGACACAGAATATTATAGGCCTGGGATAAATAATTCCTATTCAATAGGGGCATTATACATTTCTTGGTGACATATTTACACAGTTTATAATTTAGAGTTGAGTTATGTTACATAGTAAAATTTAAGAATATGTTAAGATAACTAACTCCATTGGCAGGGGCAGTGAGAATATGGGGTTGCCATGGTGGTTTATACCATAACTAAAGGACAGTTCCCCTTTTCCTACTGGTGCTCATTCTTTTCTGATTAATCTTTGATTGGTACCCTCTCTTTCCTTCCCTAACTGGGAAGAAGGTAAGAATTTAGGAAAGCTAAGTGGGCTTTGCTGTTTAAATCAACCCTGTAGTGAATACCTAGAATGGAAATACTATTTTGTAAGGTATTTAAGTACGTTTAAAATATTACCCTGTTTAAAATTTAGTTTTTTAATGCCCCGTTAAGTAGCTATTTGGCATTTAAAAATCTGAAGAATGTCACAAATGAAAGCTGGCTACAATACTGTTTTGGTTATTAAGAATCTAAACACATGTTGATCTTTTTAAGCTGAATCAATTTGATATTTACAATTCTGTTAATCAGTTTAGTTTTTTTTTTAGGAATTTAATAGTCAGAGGATATACATCTAATAGTCATGATCTCATTATGTTATTAATATGGTTAGTTAACTGTCTCTCAAGAGATTGGGCAGTGCTACCACTGAGATTTTTTTAAAAAGTAATGAATGATACAGTCTGTTTCTAACATATTATTTATTCAGAATTTCTGCATTCATTGGCTTAATCCTTGTTGAAAATTAACAGTGATATAAGAATGCTTTATAGAGTGGAGGTAGTTTGTCAGTAGGCCAGATGGTGAATCATGGAATGGAATTGTTTCTGTTACCAAATTAAATCTTTAACCCCAAGAAAGCAAGCCCTCATTGACACCATTTGGCAAGGTCAAGGCTAAGAGGACCCTTTTTGTGTTGGGAGGATGGGCAGCATCCCCAGTGGTCTCTTCTGGCTGGGCATTTTTAGTACTTATTTAACTCTGGTTCATTTGCTCCTCTTTCTTTTCCTCCTGGCTGGCTTTAGATCCCTGCAAATTCTCCAGTACCTGAGAAGTCAGCTGCCTTCATGTAGCAATTTCTAGAGCAGGGTTTTCTCTACTTGGGCACTAATGACAGTATGAACCAGATGAGTCTTTGTTGTGGGCTACCCTGTGCATTGTACAATGTTTAGCAACTTTCCTGAACTCTATCCCACTAGATGCCAGTCTTGACAACTCTAAATGTTTCCAGACATTGTACACTGGGGTGGGCAGGGGGAAAGATGGGGTAATTTTGCTTCAGAACCACAGTTCTAGATTATGCATGATATTTTTCTCTTCCTTTAGCTTTATTACTTCAAGGTAAACTGCACTGTCACACTTCATCAATAGGTGCTGATGTGTGGCACATGGTGTATTTTAGTCTGAAGATTCCTTAATTTGAGGAATTCAGGGTAGGGAATAGGTTTCCTGTTGAGGGCTAATGCCCAAGGCAGAGTTCATCAGGAGGTGCATACCAGAAATAATTTAATTTAGCTTCTTATTTCTCACCAAGAAAAATATTTAGTTACCCTGTTTGTTAAATTAGGAACAGGCATCATAAAACTTTATTTCATAAGAATACCTAACTGTAAACTTCATACTTGTAGTGTTAAAGCAGAGTTGATGAGGAAGGATAAAAGCAGGCCAATGGTAGATGTGTAAAGATGAGGAAGAGTGGAATATGATTTGGAAGGAAGGAAAAGGAATTGGAGAATAGAAGAGAGATTGAGGAAGAAAGATGCTAGGTGATTTTAAATGTTTTAAAAATTGTTATCTGCTACTCATCTAGTTGTAGTGTTCTCATTTTAAAACTTATCACTTGTTGCCTACCATGTTGTCAAGAGACTAGCAGAGTTATCAGTGTTCTAGATCTCCAGTTGCTCTTAGTAAGTCTTCAGAGAATTTAGAGAGTGAGTGAGTGAGTTAGTTAGTTGCTGGTACAATGAGGATTGTTGTATTTTGGTTTGTGGAGAAAAAAAATAACTAGCCAAATAATGCCACCAAGGGTAAGTGGGATCAAGCAGATGCCAGGATCTGCCTATCTCTAATTTGTAAGTGTATATGTTGGTTCCAAATTTAAATAGTTTGAAGGTGATCTAGTTTTCTACAGTGTCTCTTACTCCAGCCAGCATATTACAATCAGGTAGGGAGCTTTTAAAATGTGCTGATGTGCAGGCCACATCCCAAGAGTCTGATTTAATAGCTTTGGAGTAGAATTTGGATATAGTCTTTAAGAATTCTCCAGGTGACTATAATATACCATCTGGTTGCCAAACCTTATTTCTCAGCCATTGATTCTCAAAGTGTGGTCTTCAAACTAGGAGCATCAGCATCACTTGGGATTCTGTTAGAAATGCCCCACCTCCAGTCTATGAAATAACTCGGGGGGCAGGGGTGAAGCTTTGCAATCTGTGTTTGTAACATATTCTCCTGGTGAACCTGATGTACACTCAAAGTTGAGAAACATTACTTCAGGCAGTGGTAGTGGTGCTTAGAAGACATTGAATCCTGAGAATCAAGGGTACATAATAGTAGATGTTGGAAATATTAGTCTAAAGTTAATGATGCTGTCTTCTGAGTTCACTTGCCTCTGGAGACTCTTTATGTATCCAAGGAGGAATGCCTGCAAGCTGTAACTTTCCACTGAGAACCTTCCTAAGGCTGAATTGCTAATGTGTAGGTAGCAGCTGATAGGAGGAGTCCCTCCCTCCCACTCATTCCACCTAAGCTTTCAACCTCACTCTCAATATTCTTAATTAATAATCTTCAGCTTCTGAAGGCATTTCGTCAGTGGTCACCTGTCCCAGCAAGTTTCCCCTTTGAGCAGTTCTTGAAGAGGGTGTATTTCCCAGCATTCAATTGGAAAAGGGAAGTAGAGGTGTCTCTAAACAAGTCCTGTGACCAATTAGTTACCTCCCTTTTTTTCTTCTTTGTAGTTCTCTAAAAATGGATCAGGGAAAAAAACTGGGGCTTTCACCAGCAGACCTCACCTGTGTTTGTCTAACATTCTTCTGTTCCATTTGGTATTTCAATTTCCTGCCCTAGGCATGAATTGGTTAAAAATTCCCTTTGAACTCCTGCTCATTTTGAAGAAACTTGATGAGCCCTGATGCAAGTAGTTATAGGATTGTTTCCTGAG